GGTCTTTTGAATCAGAAGGAACTGAACAGAGAGTTCTCCATGGCAGGGGAGGCAGAGGGGAAGAACTTTGTACAAGTTTGCTACTCCAGATCACACCCTTGAGGCCCCTCCAAGATGTTGCTCATTCTTTTCTTTTTTCTTTTTCTTTTTAATTGTACCACACTTTGTTTAACTAGTCACCTATCAAAGGACATTTGGGGTGTTTAAAAATTTTTTTCTATTACAAATCAAGCTTCTATAAACATTCATGTATGAGATTTAGTGTGGATATAGTTTCATTTCTCTGGGATAAATGCCCAGGCGTGGGATTACTAGGTCCTATGGTAATTGCATGTTTAGTTTTGTAAGAAACTGCCAAACTGTTTTGCAGAGTGTTTTTGTAGCATTTTTCATTCCCACAGCAAGGTCTGAGAGATCCGGTTTCTCTGCATTCTCCTCAGTATTTGGTATTGTCATGTTTTTCTCATTTCAGCTGCTCTCGTAGGTGTACATGGTCCACTGTGGTCTCAGTTTGCCTTTCCCTAGTGGTACCCATCTTTTTACATATCTACCATCCATATTTTGTCTTTGCCATAACATAACTTCATCTCCTTTGCCCATTTTCTTTTCTTCTTGTTTTTCGACACAGGGTTTTTCTATGTAGCCTTGGCCATCCTGGAACTTGCTCTGTAGACCAGGCTGGCCTCGAACTCAGAGATTAAGCTGCCTCTGCCTCCCAAGTGCTGGGATTAAAGATGTGTGCCACCACTGCCCAGCTACTACTGATTTTCTTACACTCCTCATTAATCAGATATAGTACAAATATTTCCTCTAATTCTGTAGTTGGTCTTAAAAATATCTCTTAATTTGGGTTTTTCACATTTTTAAAATGTTTTTGTGAAATAAGGTCTTGCTAAACAGCCCAGGCTGGCGTCAAAGACACAATTCTCTTGACTTCACCTTGCAAATGCTGGTACTACAGGCATGTGCTACCATTCGCTCCTGGAATCGTTCACATTTTGATCAGGTGCAAGTTATTGATTTGTCCATGTGACTTCTCGCGGTGCCACTATGTCTACAAGCTAGGACCTGGAGATTATTTCCTGTTTACTTTTGTGAGTCTTTTCACTCTGAATATATATCGAAGTCCATGATCCATTTTGAACTTTTAAAATATAAAATATGATACTGAGGTCGAAGTTTGTGATGGTTAACTGACTTATTAACTTGGTTGTCCCTTTGCTGGGAGCCTGTGGGCCAGTTAGCCTGGGACATGCTGCTTCATAGCAGAAACCTCCTTGAACAGATACCCTGCCTCAGTAAGGAGGAAAATGAGATCCAACTCCAGAGAACTTGTTCTCTCACCTCCACATGAGTGCCAAGGCACAGGCATGCCCTCCCATTAAATAAATAAATACATTTAAAAAGCCCCCTTTCCCACTGAGTTATATTTGTATCTTTAAAAGAAATCAAGCAGCCATATTTCTGTGGGTCTCCTTCTGGGTTTTGCTGTTCTGTTGCTTTATGTGTCTGTCCCTCTGCCAACACCATATTGCCTTGATTACTGATGATGTGTAATAGTGCCAACTGATCGCTTCTACTTTATTCTCTCTCCTTCTCCCACTCCCCTATAGTACTGAGGATCAAACCCAAGGCTCTACACATATCAGGCAAGCACTCAGTCCTCTCCTCCTTTATTCTTATGGGTTTTGAAACTCATACATGGTAATTGTACATATTTATGGGAGAGTCAGTATGGTGTTCCAACTATTCCCAAAATGTCTATTTGTTTTACATATAATTAAATTTGAGTTATTCTTAGAGGAATGAGGAAAAGTATGTCTACTCAGAGTTTCAGGTGGCAAACCCCACTTTCAGGACACCACCTTTCCAGTTAGTTATGAAATTTCATTGCTTGAAGACAATGGTATTTAGCCGTCACATGATAATATGCTATCTTTGTTGAGCAAGTGGCTCATACTCACGTAGTTTTGACATGTTGGGGCAGAAATACAGATGATAGCATCCACAGAGTTCCCTAGCTGCTGAACTGGTGGCAGATTGCTTGAGTCTATACTGCTTGAGGACTAAGAGGTCTTTGGGGTTGCTTAGAGTTGCAATAGATGTTTAAGAGGCCATGCAGAAATACTTGGTGGCAACTCTCAGGGATGTCATTGAGGAGATAAGAAAAATGAGTTATCCATCTCAAAGACTGGCAAATAGTACATATTCAATAGATACTTGTGTGGATGAATGTGGATGAAATGCTAATTGCTTCTAAAGTGACAATTGCTGAGCTAAGTTCTGTGATCTATACCGGAAGGCATTTATTTGTTCTTTGTGTGTGTGCCTGTTCATGTATGTACACATGTGTGTGTATGTTTTCAGACTAAAGGATTTTTCTCAGGAGCCATCGAACTTATTTTTTTTGGGCAGGGTTTCTCACTGAGATCTGGGGCTGGCGAAGTAGGCTGGGCTGACTAGCCAGGAAGTCCCAGGGATCTTCCTGTCCTTACCTCCCCACTGCTAGAATTACAAGAGCCCACTATCATGCCCAGCTGTTTCACATGGGTTCCTGGATTTGAACTCAGGTCCTCACGTATTGTGCAGCTTGTCCTGCTAGAATCTTACTAATTGGACTATTTCCCCAGCCCTCACGAGCGTTTTCTTAGGGAGGTAGGGGTTAACTTGTCAATAGGGTAGGGGCTAGAGATGCTTTTGACGGAAAATGGACAGAATTCATTAGTAGGCTGGGATGGGGAGGGGTTGAAAGAGAACAAAGCCAAATACACTCTGGCTCAGATTCCTGGTGTCAGGGAAACATAATGAATTTGATTTTGTATCTAATAATCTTGAGCTGATGGTAAAATGGCTAAGCACACATGTACAGTAAGTATTTGGAAGATTTATCGTTGAGGAAAACATCTAACTGGAAAATTCGTTTTACCTGCGAGTCTGCAGAAGATGTAGGCTCTATTCCCAACTTTGTAGCCAGGAAACCATGAGATTTAAAGCAATTCAAAACTTTCCCCTGCGTTTTCATTCCTCATCTGTAAAATGTGCTGCTTTGATAGGTGGTATTCTTTGAACTCAAATTATTTCAGCATAGGATCAGTATTTGGAAAGAATCTTATTGAAATATTCCTCTTTCTGCTATAATAGTCTAGGATTCTCAGATTTCTTAAGCTATCTGCCTTTGCTGGCTGGCTTTTTATTTAGCACCTACCTCCCATAACTCCCACCCCCCAACAGAGCTCATCAGTTTATATCATGTCAAATAAAGTTGGGGAAGGGGAGCTGTGCATGTTGGGTCTCAATCCTTGCAGACTTCCTAAGCATTTCGGTCTCTTGAGCTGTCCTCCCCTCTAGGGAGAGCAGTGGGCACATAGCCGTTAGGACACAGGAAGGGAGGCTTTGTGGTACACTAAAGTCTTTGGGTCTTATTTATGTCTGCTTTCCCCAGAGTTTGTCCCACAGATCTGGACAGCTGGAGAAAAATGGGTGGGAGTGGAGGGAGGGAAGGATGAGAATTTGCTGGAAGGTGAGAAACCAACGAATGTCTTTCAATCTTAAACACAGACTCCCAGCACTTAATACTGAAAAGACTCTGGGGCTTCATTTGGGCTTTCTGGAAACCAAGCACTGCTATGACTTCCACATAGCATCCAAAGCAGTTTTCTTTTCCAGTTTCCACCAGTGAGATCTGTATCATACTACTTACTATCTATCATCAAATTTTTATTTTTCCAAATGAAAGATTATTTTTTTAGACTTTAAAACATGATAAGATCATTATAAAAATAAGATAATGAAAATAACTCATGATCCCATAACAGAGTTAACTACTGCTAAAATTTATATTTATTCCATTCTAGTCTTCTACACACACACACACACACACACACACACACACACGGAGTATTGTGACATATGCTCATTTGTATATCTTTCCTTCCTCCCTTTAATTTAGGCTGTGAGCATTTCTCCACATTATTAAAATTTCTTCTAAACATGATTTGAAATAGCGATACAGCATTTTGTACTGTATAACTATTTAACATTTCATAATATAAATGTTTTCACTTTATTCTTAAATGATGCTATAATTAGTTTCTTAGTAGTTTGGTATATCTATTATATTTCAAATACTTTTTATTAACACTCTAATTATACATATCTATAGGGTATAGTGTTATAGTTTCATAAGTGTAGACAATGTGCAACGATTCAATCAGGGTAATTGGCATTTCCTTCTCCTTAAACACCTACATTTTTATTACTAACCCATAGTGATTGTGTTTTTGAAAAGATGAATTTCTTAGGAAAAGTCTCTCATGGGGTAGAGAAGAACATTGCTAATGCTTTGGCACATTTTGCAGTTGCCCTTGTGTGTGAGTTATACCAATTTTCGTTCCTATGGGTGCTGAAGAATGCCTCAGTTTCTGCATTAACACAGAATCCTTCAGCATTGTGTATGTGGACACTATGTATTTCAACTCAAAGGCATGTGATCAGCCCCTCTTGGGTATTGTGTCTGAACCTTTCCAAACTTTGTAAGCTGTTCCTAAGCAGAAGCACCTGCTATATGCAGGGTAATTAGACTCTCTAGTTATGCCAAGTAAATGCTAGATAAGACACATATGAAGATGATTAAAAATGCAAGTGGAAAATAACAACACATAATTCTACATGGCCAGTGCTGACACTTAGCCTTTAAATAGTTACTCATTGGAGGAAGACACCAATGTAGCTAATTAAAATAATTTAGATCCCATGAGCACTGATAAAAGAATGTATTAACGGGACTCTTGCAAAACACAGAGGTTGAGTTGTGATTATTTAGTGTATTTCCTGGTATAAACTAGAGTGGGAATGGAAAGGAATATTACAAATTCACATCTTTCAAAAACAAGAAACACCCCCCATGGGTGAAAGGACCATTTCTGCTCTTGTCAGTTCCCTTTACAAAGTTAACCTGTTGGTTATTGGAGAAGGGGACACAGAACACACAGAACACTAACCTCCTTTTGGCAGCTGGGGACAATCTGTCAGTCTCCTTTGAAATGTGGCTTTGTGCTCACTGCTGAAGGCAGCTGGAAAAGAAAAAGCATGACAGACAAAAGCTGAAATCCACATGAAGAAAGGGCTTTTTCCCAAAAATTACTGCCTGAGTTAGCAACGGTCGGAACGGAATGCGCATGTCTGTCTTGTCGGCGCCACGCACATCTGGTGCGAAAGAAGGCCCCTATGCTATGGGAGGCATTCAGGATGGCTGTTGACCCGAACAGGGCTGCTGGATAGCATCGAAGCAAGCCTTCTCACCCTGTGACAGATTACATGCTTACATCTGTCTACAAGGAAGTCTAAAACAGGGTTAGTGCCATCTCTGGATAGCTGGCAAACGCTTTTACTATGTTGAAAAGGCAGGCCTAATTCACATATAGTGGTGATAGGCTAAGAAATAAAGGCTTAAGTATATGATTTTAAATTAAAGGTAACCAATGGAATGACTAAAACAACACTGTCAAACTGGAACCAGCTCCAATGTGCTTCAGTTGGTTGGTTGATGAATTCTGGTACATCCAAGCAATGGACTGCTACTCAGCAACCCAAAAGAATGGGCCACTGAAAAACGAATCTCAAGACAGTTATAAATGAATAAATGCCTCAAAATAGTTATCGTAGGTGACAGGACACAGTGACAAAAGTTTGCATACAACAAGATTCCATTTCTATAGCATTATGCAAAAGGCAAAACTGAAGTGACATGAACCTTTCCAGTGGTTGTCAGGCCCCCCAGGGAGTGGGGAGGAATGGATTATAAAGGAATTCATTTGAGCATGGAGCTACTCAACCTGATGTTCACAGCAGTAGTCCAGTGACTTGAGATTTTTGCCTAAATTCATAGAACTGTATACCATTTTTTTTTTTACCACATTCTACTTTAAAAACAGGAAAACAAACAACAAAAACCTCAAAAAAAAAACCCCACAAAACTGTTACCAAACACAGAGGTACAGGAAGGGGTGGATGACAGGGATGCTAAGTAAGCTAAGTCTTCAGTTTTTACAGCAGCGAGTCAATCGATAAGGGCTAATAGGATAAATCAGGAAGCAGGAGTCGAAGCATTATTTGGAGGTACTCAAGCAACCAGCAGAGAATAGGAGCTGATAAAAATGAGTGCCTTGGTGGCGGCAGCGGAGGAAGAGTCCCGGGGTGAGGAGGGGAGGGGTAAAGAACTGGTTTTGTTGTTGTTTGTTTTTGTTCTTTTCCTTTCGTACAAACTCCTTGGCACTATTTCAAGGTTGTAAACAATGTTCACTTATTACTTTGACTGAGAAAGAAACGGAGTGAAGAATGTCTGGGGTGAGGATGGAGGGACCCGATTTTTCATGGGCTGAGCACCAGCCTTTGTCCCCTTTTGGCCGGGGTTTCTACATCTGTATGATAAAGGGCTTGGACTAGAAGATCTTCCATAGCTAATGAAAATCACAGTCACGATTCTGTGTTGTGTTTGAAGCTAAGTAATAGATCTTTCTGTTTTTTAATCTGGGAGGGACTAAATCATCCAGTTAAACCATTGCTTTTTAGCCACCCAAGAAAGCAATACACAAACTGGATAAGAGAGGCACATGAAAGGGCGGCAAATTGCTACCAGAGTCAGGCCTGGAGCTCAGGGCCCTGGTCATTGTACTCCACAGCTTCTCCCAGGCTTAATGGAATCACTGGTTAGTGTCAAATCTGGCAAAAATGTCCTGGGATCACACCAGGGTTGGGATCCACATGCTGACATGGTTTCCTTCGCCTGGGAGATGAGTCAGAATTTTGGAAGTGGTCCCTGACATAGCATGTATGATGCAATACTATAGGAATCCTGAAGTGGGTCTAATGTGGGGACTCTATTCCTTAGTAACTGTCCACGAAACTTCTTTAACAGCTACTCCTAGCCTGCTGATTTCTTTTGTGTGATAGGGATCTCTCCACTCACAAATATCACCGTTCTCATTTTGATTTAAAATAATGGATTTATCTGCTTTTCCTCATCAGTTTTTTTTTTTAAATCTCCATAACCTCGAAACCTAAGCAATGTTTCACTGAAATCCGTCAAGTTGGAAACTTTCTTTCTTTCTTTTAAACATTTATTTATGGTTTTTTGTGCTCATGTGCAGGTCAGAGGACAACTTGGGGGAGTCGGTTCTCTCTTCCCAACATGTGGGTCCCTGGGATCAAATTCAGATGGTCAGGCTTAGAGGCAAGTGCCTTTACTGGCTGACCCACCTCACCGGCTCCAGTTGGAAACTTTCTCTCAAGCAGAATTCCGATTTTAATAAGAGATATATTGTTCTGGTATGGCAGTCCCAGAAGAGAGTTGAAACTGTCTTGCCTTTGACCATGCTGTCCCCTCAGGAAGACCTTCCATGTGGACCAGCACCAGGCTGGAAACACGTGCCTTCTGCTACCCCCCCCCCCCCCCCATTGTCACAGCCTGCAGCCTCACTTACCCCTTGTCACACATGCTCCAAGGTTTACAGAATAAGGACATCATTTAATATGCTAGAATGCTATCATTCTTTCTCAGGGGAAACAACATGGCCCTTTGTGAGCTCGAAGCTCACTTCAGAGGGTGTGGCTATCACTCAGGGCTCCTCAGGGAAGAGTCCTCGGGGAAAGTGGCCACAGTGCCATTCCAGCTCTAGAACCTTCTCTAGGGTGTGGGGCGTTAGAGAAGGAGTTTTCAGGAAGCCCTCCTATGGGTGTTTTGTCTACTTTGGAGGCAATACTGTATATTTTCCAACCTCTTGAGAAAACAGTTTTTTGCCAACTTTGTGCCCCCCTCCCTAAATACCCTCGCTCATGCTTGGCTTTTGGCCCAGTTCTGAGGCCTGCCTTACCTCTGCCTGGCATTTACTTCATAACAGCTGGCCCCAGGAGCTCATACACTTAGCTTCAGCTGCCAGTTTAAGGAAGGAGAGGCCCCTTCGGCTGAGCTGTGACAATAACAGCATTTGTTCCCACACTGGTATTCTCAATGTCAACAGCAGTGACAGGCTCCAAGGGGATTAGGGCCAGTCCCTGCTCCGGGATGTTCATGCATCCAGCTTTGACTCTCGTCACAATACCGTGAATGAACCAGAAACAAGCAGTTGCTTCTCCATGCCATGCTAGGGGAATACAAAGAGCAAGAGACCAAGGGGTCTGCCGAAGGAAGTGAGGGGCATTCTCCTCGGAACCACAATCGGGACACTCGGGTCAATGAACACTTACTTCAGGGACTTGCCGATTTCTGTGTTCGCTTAGTAGGCGGCTTACCTAACGGACAGAGAGAGCCTTGGGTTTGGTCCCTAGCACGGCTTAAACTGATCATGGTGCTCCAGGCCTGGACTCTTAGTCCTTGGGAGGTGGAGGTGGGAGGGTTAGGAGTTGAAGTTGGAGGTTAGTCTGGGCTGTATGAGACCCTGTCTCCAAACAAACAAACGACAAAAAACGAGGTGCCTTCTAGGAGGGAGCAGTGAGTCAACACCTTGTAGGAATGTGACATCAAGACCACAGCCCAGACCACCTCTTCCAGGAGCTAAGCAGCATTGCCTCTTCTCCCAGCAAATGCTGACTGCGCCAGGCACCAGGAAATGGAGGCACAGGACACTAGAATGACTGATGACTCAGAGGAACACTGGGCTTTTTTTAAGACAAGATCTCAAGAAAGCCAGGCTGGTCTGAAACTCCCTGTGTAGCTAATGACCCTTGACATTCCTGATCTTTCTGCCGCCAGCTCCCAGGCTCTGGCACTGCAGGCATGCATACCACACCCGGTTTTATGTAGTGCTGGGGATGGATCCCAGGGCCTTGTGCATGGTAGCTGCTTGGCTTTATGGTGTTTGTAGTAAGATGAGGGCACTATCAGTTTTATTGGTGACTTACACTAATCTCAGAATTGAGGATGTTCATGTTTATCCCTGAGTTGGTTAACAGGAAATGGTGTTTTATTTTACTTTGGATTTCTTTCTTTCTTTCTTTCTTTCTTTCTTTCTTTCTTTCTTTCTTTCTTTCTTTCTTTCTTTCTTTCTTTCTTTCTTTCTTTCTTTCTCTC